GGTGCCACAACAAACTACAGTTCCCAGGATTCCATGGTATTGAGTCATGGCAGTTAAAATGGTGTCAACCTCAATTATTTCTGCAGTGTGGATGCCGTCTCAGTGTATATGGGATTTTTCTGGAGAAGATGAGGTGCCCTGGCAAAATGTGGGGGAACATCTGAGCATGTATATTGAAATAGTGCTCCCCAGAGTGATGAAAGACATTTGCTTTTCATAATATGTCTTTTTCTTCACTTGTGTACCTTGCATTTAGCTGGACTTTGTTTTGCAATTGTTCACTGGAAGGAAAATTCAAACTTACCATATTTTTCGCCATATAAGATGCACTTTTTCTTCCCCAAAACGGGGGTAGGGAAGTTGGTGTGTCTTATAAGGTGAATATACCTTATAAGGAACAGCCAAGGCCATGGCTAAAAGGAGGCCTCCTTCCAGCCGCGGCCTCGGTGGTTCAATGGGATGCTTCTGGGATAGGAGGACGTCCTCTGATCCCAGGAGCAGCCCATTGAACCACCGAGGCTGCGGCTAAAGGGAGGCCTCCTTCCATCTGCGGAACGGATTAATTTCGCAAGTAGAGGTACCACTGTATTTGGTTAAGAATCTTTTTTTCCTAGATTTTCCTGCTTTAAAATAGGGTGCGTCTTATATGCCGGAGCGTCTTATATGGCGAAAAATACAGTAATTTGGAAGCCTGATTGGTGTGGCATGTATATCTGAGGAAATCCTGATACAGAGGCATAAACATACCACCAGTATCTCTAAATTTTGGGATAGAAATTAATATTCTGGAGGAAAATGGCTTTTTTATAAGCGTGGACAAGTATTTATTTATTTATTTATTTATGGACTATACTGGCCATTCTGGCAGTGGATTTGGGGGACACTAGTTCAAAAAAGTTACTTTCCAAAGCTCCAATGTTGTAGTTTTAGTTCAGTTGAGCTCTGGATAGCGAGTTTTTCTTTCTTTTGTATGTAAACCTCGATATTTCGCTTTTTTATTAACAAGTGGGGAATTTCAGCCCTTAACAAATGAACAGCTTCTTCCTACTGCCATCTTTTATTACTTTGGTCTGTTGAACATGCGTTTACAGTATATAATTCTGCTATGATAAGACAGATATATATATATATATGTAACCTCACTTTCATATGAATTTTTATGTGAACTTGGGATATAACTAAAAGAAAAATTCAAGTTGATGAAATGAAATGGCAAAGTAAAATTATGTGCAAACTACATTTCAATGTTCTCTTTAGCATTATGTTTGGATTGTCAGGTTCCAGCTCACTTGAAGGTTAGGAAGCCTTCCTTCACAGACCCATTTTGTTGGTGAAAACTGAGCTTTCAGATGAAGATAAAGATGGAGATGAGGAGGAGGAATGTGATTTATAGCTTGCCTTTCCCCCAGAAGTCAGACTCAAGGCAGGTCTCAAATTCAAACAAATGAAGTCTATTTAAAAGATGGACCTGTTCCACAAAACCATGGAATTATCCGCATTAAAACATTTAAAAATAATCAAGAGCAATGCAAAAGCACAACAGGAACCTATTAAAAACCCTTTGCTTTAAAACATTTCGTTCTTAAGAGCCTGTGTTAGAATAAAATGGTTGCTAATGGAAGGAAAGGGAGCCAGCGTGGCGTAGTGGTTGTTGTGTGCCTTCAAGTCATTTCTGACTTATGGCGCTCCTAAGATGGACCCATCATGGGGTTTTCTTGGCATGATTTGTTCAGAGAGGGTTTCCCTTTGCCCTCCTTTGAGGCTGAGAGAGTGTGACTTGCCCAAGGTCACCCAGTGGATTTTCATGGCCAACCCAGGATTCGAATCCTTGTTTCCAGAGTCATAGGGTAATGCTCAAACCACTACACCAACAAGAGTTACTTCACCATGGGCCTTTGCAGACTGCTAGAAATAGTGCAAATTGAGTCCACTTTAAGGGTTAGGGTTAGTGCTAGGGAATCATGGGAATTGTTTTTTTTTTCCTGAGACATTGAGCCTTCTCTGTCAGAGAGCTCTGGTGCCACAATAAAATACAGTTCCCATGATTCCCTAACCCTAACCCTAAAAGTGGACTCAATTTGCACTATTTCTGGCAGTCTGCAAAGGCCCCATAAGTCCCATTTCTGTTGTTGCACAAAGAGGTACCCAGTACCTTCTTACACAATGTCTTTCTCTTGGCTTTGAAATTTCTCCTTTGGGGTGAAACATGGGAGCCACATCCCTTTGGTCCCCGCTATAGGTGTTCCCCAGCCTCCTGATCTCGTAGTGGATCCCATTTCTTTCCACAGAATCCAGCCATTATAGAGTCACCTATAACCAAATAGCTAATTGGAAACAGTCCCTTAGACAGATAGACACACATATACAGACATAGCCCTCTAACCGAAAACTCATACCAGCCCCCTTTGCTCTTATATAAGATACAGATCCTTTTCAGCCTATTTGAAAACAGGACCGGGCTGTATTTATTTCTGTATTAAATGCAATTTATTAGGTTTACAACCTTGACAGTGTGAATACCCTGCTATTTATTAAGTGCTGGCACTGTATGAAAACATCTGTTGCGTTAGAAGAAACACAGGACATCGCTGGGTTTCTTTTCTCCTCTTTTCCATTTTTTGTTCTCTTAGATGGAATTACCTTGGGAAAGTCTCCAGAGCAAGGGGAGAAAAAGAAGAAGAAGGGTGCGGGGGGGGGGGGGGGGAATTGGCTTTGGCGGAGATCTCGCCTCGCAATAGGGCCTGCCAAGCCAGCCTGGCACAAGCTCAGCATTGACTTGTGTCCTCGCATTGACTTGTGTCCTCGGCCCAGTGCTATTCAATATCTTTATTAATGACTTGGAT